GAATAGAGAAATTCCAAGTGCTTTTGTGACTACTCACATTATCAAGGAACTATGAAAGTAAAGCATCCAAGGAAGCTATATAAGGGGTCTGGCCAACACCTCACTATCAGATCCCACAACGGTTAAACACTTGACGCTCGCCGACCCAACTGGATAGGTCCTTTGCACAACTCACCCACAAACTATTCTACCCAAGAAAATTTAAAAATTATTATTTGTCCAGTGTATTATTAAATTCTTCCCAAATTCTATTAATTATAAATGGATCTAATTTATATAAACCAAAGGAAATATTCATATTATTGTCAAAACTGCTTTTTATGAAACAAGATTCAATTGTATTTCTGTCAACCATGGACTTGCTTGATACTACTTTCTCAACTTTTTGAAAATCAATTGGATGGTTAAAATCTCTTACATGAATAAATAGAGCATTGGAATCTTGTCCAGTTCTAATGCTATATTTATGTTGTTTTAATCTTAGTTCGAGATTTTTACCAGTTTGACCGTAATAAACTTTATCGCAAATTTTACAAGGAATCTTATAGACACATCCATCAGCATTTTGGGGGGAATTCTTTATCAAAAGTTTTTTTACTGTATCAAGATTTTGAATACAACTTTAAACCCTTTCAGGGTCCAAGGCCCAAATCTGGAGTCACGCACCAGTGTCCAAGAATTTTCAAAAAAAAATTTGTTATTTTTTCTTATGAAATCGTAGAGAATCTTTTTGTGAAGGTAATAAAAAAAAAGTACGAAATTTGGTGGAAAATTGACGAAATTATGCTCTCGCGAATTTTGATGTGTCAGCGATATTTACGAATCGGCGATTTTGCCGACTTTGACTCCCATTTTAGGCCAATTTAAACATTATTCCAATCAACCAAATTCTTAGCTATTTCACTAGTATTACTTCTATTCTATCGATTGAGCACAAGAAATCGCCAAGTCAACTGTTTCAACTACAAAATAAAGTGATCGGAAATTGTTAATTTGGCCAATTTAACACAAAGTTCAAAATATTCCAATTTCAAAATAGGGTCCAGAATGAACAATGTAGGCATTCCTGGCACTAAACTAACATTTCCTCTGTTCATTAGTTATGTTTTGAGGCTTTACAAATAGATTCCATTTTGATTTTTTATTCACATAATGAATTTTTATTCACACCAAAAAATAGAAGATTTACTGTTATGCAATACTGTAATAATTGTATAAATATCATCACCATATTTGTGAATGTATATTAGACCCACCAGCTGACGTGTATTAGACGTGTGAGGTCGTTTGTTTACTCTTGAATATCGGGAAAAATTTAAATTTCTGCTACTTTGAGCTCAGTTTCAAGCCATTTCCAGTGCTAAAACCAATCAAAATCATCTCTATTTCTGTAATATGTCTTCCATTCTATCAAATGAGACCAAGAAATCGCAAATACAACTATAAAAAACATACGAATAAACACTGCAAAGTTGCTGTTTTAATCGAAAAATCATGATTTAATTTTTTTTCTCTCATTATACACAGTGTGCTGCAGGATCTGTTTTATGTGGTGCACACATACCACATAGATGTATTCTCTCATATCTAGGCCCAAATGTACCACTCACAGTTTATCAGAGTGAGCTGAGCTCATGGCGTAGATCTACGGTTTGGACCCTGAACGTAAAGCCGTAGATCTACGGGACAGACCCTGAAAGGGTTAATATTAAAAGTCTTAAGAAAAGAAGGCATATCAACCAAGTTTTCATGGTAAGGGAGAACCAACATATTTTTAGTTGAGTAAGGCTGGTTGTCCCTTTTTGGATTGTAAAAAGTATTTCTAGCAACTTTAAAAGATTTATCAATTACATTTCTTGGGTATTTTAAATCATTACCTATTTCATAAATTTTGGATATTTCCTCATCTATGAACTCAGGACTACAAATTCGTAAAGCTCTCAAAAACATTGATGAGAAAACAGATAGTTTGACTCTATCTTGATGCGAGGAATAATAGTGGACATAGGAACAGTTATTTGTAGGTTTTCTGTAAATTTTAAATTTGAATTCATTATTACCCTTAATAATTAAAACATCTAGAAAAGGCAATGAGTTATTTTCTTCAAACTCAACAGTAAAGTTTATAGAATGGGCTAAGCTATTTAATTTTCCAAGGAAATGTAGATATACACCATTTCCTTGGAAAATTAAATAGCTTAGCCCATTCTATAAACTTTACTGTTGAGTTTGAAGAAAATAACTCATTGCCTTTTCTAGATGTTTTAATTTTTAAAGGGGTAATAATGAATTCAAATTTAAAATTACAGAAAACCTACAAATAACTGTTTCCTATGTCCACTATTATTCCTCGCATCAAGTTTAGAGTCAAACTGTCTGTTTTCTCATCAATGTTTTTGAGAGCTTTACGAATTTGTAGTCCTGAGTTCATAGATGAGGAAATACCCAAAATTTATGAAATAGGTAATGATTTAAAATACCCAAGAAATGTAATTGATAAATCTTTTAAAGTTGCTAGAAATACTTTTTACAATCCAAAAGGGACAACCAGCCTTATTCAACTAAAAATATGTTGGTTCTCCCTTACCATGAAAACTTGGTTGATATGCCTTCCCTTCTTAAAACTTTTAATATTAAAGTTGTATTCAAAAATCTTGATACGGTAAAAAAAACTTTTGATAAAGAATTCCCCCCAAAATGCTGATGGATGTGTCTATAAGATCCTTGTAAAATTTGCGATAAAGTTTATTACGGTCAAACTGGTTTAAAAAACTCGAACTAAGATCAAAACAACATAAATATAGCATTAAAACTGGACAAGATTCCAATGCTCTATTTATTCATGTAAGAGATTTTAACCATCCAATTGATTTTCAAAAAGTTGAGAAAGTAGTATCAAGCAAGTCCATGGTTGACAGAAATATAATTGAATCTTGTTTCATAAAAAGCAGTTTTGACAATAATATGAATATTTCCTTTGGTTTATATAAATTAGATCCATTTATAATTAATAGAATTTGGGAAGAATTTAATAATACACTGGACAAATAATAATTTTTAAATTTTCTTGGGTAGAATAGTTTGTGGGTGAGTTGTGCAAAGGACCTATCCAGTTGGGTCGGCGCTCGTCAGGTGTTTAACCATTGTGAGATCTGATAGTGAGGTGTTGGCCAGACCCCTTATATAGCTTCCTTGGATGCTTTACTTTCATAGTTCCTTGATAATGTGAGTAGTCACGAAAGCGCTTGGAATTTCTCTATTCTTTCAGAGTGGTTGTTTTGCATATATATATTATATATGTGTATATATACATACACACACGTATTTTTTAACAAGCTGGTTGTCTCTCACCAAGGCAGTGACCCAAACAAGAAAGAAACACTTTCACCATCATTCACACATAGATAAGGGTAAGGTGATGAGGGTATCAAACAATTTAGTTAAGAAAAACTCTCTATCAGACTGAAGGGAGAAGTGAATGTGTTTGGATACTTGGGAGTAGACTTGTCGGCGGATGGGTTTATGAAGGACGAGGTAAGCCACAGAACTGAAGGAAAAAAGGTGGGTGGTGCATTGAGGTGTCTGTGGAGACAAAAAAGGGAATGTAGCAGAGTATAGTGGTACCAACACTTATATATGAGCATGAAGCATGGGTTGTGAATGTTGCAGCAAGGAGGAGGCTGGAGACAGTGGAGATGTCTTGCCTAAGGGCAATGTGTAGCGAAAATATTATGCAGAGAATGTGTAGTATGGAAATTAGGAGGTGTGGAGTTACTAAAAGTATTATTCAGAGGTCTGAGGAGGAGGTTGTTGAGGTGGTTTGTCTTTTAGAAAGGGTGAAGCAAAAAGGATGGCTTGGAGGGTGTATAAATCTGTAGTGGAGGGGTCATCCTAGGAAAGGATAGAGGGAGGGGATAAAAGAGGTTTGGACATACAGCAGGTATGTGTGAGTGTGTTAGAGAGGAGTGGAGATGAATGGTCTTTGGGACTTGATGAGCTGTTGGAGTGTGAGCAGGGTAATATTTTGTGAAGGGATTCAGGGAAACCAGTTTGCTAGACTTGAGTCCTGGAGGTGGGAAGTACAATGCTTACACTTTAAAGGAAGGGTTTGGGATATCTGCTGACTGGAGTAACATCTATGCTGTCATATCTGCATGCCTCTGCAAAGACAGTAATTGTGTGTGAATGATGGTGAAAGTGTTTCTTTTTTGGGTTGCCCTGCATTGGTGGAAGATGGCTAGTGTTTAAGGGCAATGTGTGGTGTAAATATTATGCAGAAAATTCGGAGTGTGGAAATTAGGAAAAGGTGTGGAGTTAATAAAAGTATTAGTCAGAGGGCAGAAGAGGGGTTGTTGAGGTGGTTTGGTCATTTAGAGAGAATGGATCAAAGTAGAATGACATGGAAAGCATATAAATCTATAGGGGAAGGAAGGAGGGGTAGGGGTCGTCCTCGAAAGGGTTGGAGAGAGGGGGTAAAGGAGGTTTTGTGGGCAAGGGGCTTGGACTTCCAGCAAGCGTGCGTAAGCGTGTTAAATAGGAGTGAATGGAGACGAATGGTACTTGGGACCTGACAATCTGTTGGAGTGTGAGCAGGGTAATATTTAGTGAAGGGAATTAGGGAAACCGGTTATTTTCATACAGTCGGACTTGAGCCCTGGAAATGGGAAGTACAATGCCTGCACTTTAAAGGAGGGGTTTGGGATATTGGCAGTTTGGAGGGATATGTTGTGTATCTTTATATGTGTATGCTTCTAAACTGTTGTATTCTGAGCACCTCTGCAAAAACAGTGATAATGTGTGAGTGTGGTGAGAGTGTTGAATGATGATGAAAGTATTTCTTTTTGGGGATTTTCTTTCTTTTTTGGGTCACCCTGCCTCGGTGGGAGACGGCGGACTTGTTGAAAAAAAAATAAAAAATATATATATATATATATATATATATATATATATATATATATATATATATATTATATATATATATATATATATATATATATATATATATGTATGTATGTATGTATGTATGTATGTATGTATGTATGTATGTATGTATGTATGTATGTATGTATGTATGTAATATGTATGTATGTATTTTGGTAAACAGCAACCACCCAGGGAGGTACTACCATCCTGCCAAGTGAGTGTAAAATGGAAACCTGTAATTGTTTTACATGATGGTAGGATTGCTGCTGTCCATTTTTCTGTCTCATAAACATGCAAGGTTTCAGGTATGTCTTGCTACTTCTACTTACACTTAGGTCACACTACACATACATGTACAAGCATATATGTATATACACACCCCTCTGGGTTTTCTTCCATTTTTCTTACTAGTTCTTGTTCTTGTTTATTTCCTCTTACCTCCATGGGGAAGTGGAACAGAATTCTTCCTCCGTAAGCCATGCGTGTTGTAAGAGGCGACTAAAATGCCGGGAGCAAGGGGCTAATAACCACTTCTCCTGTATATATTACTAAATGTAAAAGGAGAAACTTTCGTTTTTCCTTTTGGGCCACCCCGCCTCGGTGGGATACGGCCGGTGTGTTGAAAGAAGAAGAATATATATACACATACACATATACACACAAGTGTACGTGAGCGTGTTAGATAGGAGTGAATGGAGACGAATGGTTTTTGGGACCTGACAAGCTGTTGGAGTGTGAGCAGGGTAATATTTAGTGAAGGGATTCAGGGAAACTGGTTATTTTTATATAGCTGGACTTGAGTAATGGAAATGGGAAGTACAATGCCTGCACTTTAAAGGAGGGGTTTGGGATATTGGCAGTTTGGAGGATATGGTATATATCTTTATATATGCTTCTAAACTGTTATATCTGGGTGCCTCTGCAAAGACACTGATTATGTATGAGTGAGGTGAAAGTGTTGAATGATGATGAAAGTATTTTCTTTTTGGGGATTTTCTTTCTTTCTGGGTCACCCTGCCTCGGTGGGAGACAGCCGACTTATTGAAAACAAAAATAAAAATATATCTACACACACACACACAATTTCATGAGGTTACACTGATACACCTAAGATCAATAAATAAACGCTTTTACACAAAAAGAAAACATATTTATATACAGTAGTTTACTGTAGATCATCTTATGAATGTAAGCAAAATTATATAATGTGCATTATAAGTCTTCATAAAACACATTTTAATCTACTCAATAATAGCCACTCCTCTGTATGAAAATGATGGTCATGCTTCAGCTCTGTAATAGAAAAGAAAATGTGCTAGTTTAACTCTGCATATGTGTTGAGCAAGTGCAACTGCTGAACTATGTGGAAGACCAAGATGCTGTACTAAAGTAGGAAGGTTAAGTAACAAAAAAGCACGTCCATCAATTTCTTGTTCCCGCAGTCTGACTGCATGATGACATATTGCTGACTGGCTTGCAACATACTGTTCAACATCATGAACTGTCCATTCTAAAGGATCAGATGTAACACTTGCAGGTTCTAGACCAGAATTTGTATCAGGATATTCATTTTTTCTATCTCTTCTTATTCGCTCTTTACGATCTAATGGTTCTTCACGGAAACTTGAAGCACTAGATGAAGCTTCTCCAGTTTCATATTTTTTTTTTACATGTCTCATTTTCATTTGGGTTGCATAATCAGGCAACTTGATACCTCGAGTCTGCATTTCAAGCCGTGGGAAAACTCTTCGTCGCCGTCTACTGCCAAGACCATGTTCTAGGAAAGGGCTTGTAGGACGAGAACTACGGGAGCTTGTATCACCTTCATCTGAACCACTTCCAACATCATCATCATCACCCTCCTCAATTTCAGCATCTTCCTCTTCTTCAACATCCTCTGATATATCATCTGATGGATCTGCAACATATATACATCACTACAGTATTTCTGTTTTAACACAGGCCATTTTCCACCAAGGAAGGGTAACCCTAATGAGAAGTATATTATTATCATAATTCAAACTGAATGTATTTCAGCTGCTATTTGATCTGAGAATGGCATCCCTGTATTGCCTAAACCCCAACTCCATGTGCTTCAATGTAAGAGATAGGAACTGTGCATAGTGTGGCATACGTTTCTAAGGCATCATTAGGGGCCCGCATCTGGAAAAGTTCCAGAGATTAATCTGGATATGTGAAATTATTATAATTGCCTCTAACCAATTACAGAACTCATTATCATCCTCATGTAACAAATCAGATAGTTCTGATTCCTTCCAAAGAGGAGTGATGAGACAAGATATGAAGCTGTGTAGTTTCAGACCTGGGAGTGGGCAGTTTCCAGTCTTTGTAAGTTGGAATGATTGTTTGGACTCGCTTTCAAAAATTCATTAAAAAAAATGAGAGAGAGGGCAAAAATCATAGAAGTAAAAAAAAGTCTTAGAATGGGTCAATATATAACATACTAGCAGCATATACAAATCCCTCCAGTATTTCTATGTTGGAACATCAAAGGGTTCAAATTTGATGCTAATCAGAAGAGATATTCATGTCACCACATGTTTTGTTTTTTTTAAGTATAATGGCTGTCTCCCACAGAGGCAGGGTGACCCAAAAAAATAAACTTTCACCATCATTCACTCCATCACTTGCCAGAGGTGTGCTGATACCACAGTTCAGATGCCCCCTCCAAACTGCAAATATCCCAACTCCTCCTCCAGCGTGTAGGCACTGTATTTCCAACATCCAGGACTCAAGTCTGGCTAACTGGTTTCCCTGAATCCCTTAACAATATATCACCTTGCTCATACTCCAACAGCTAGTCAAGTCTCAAAACCTATTTGCCTCCACTCACTCCTATCTAACATACACACACACACACTGGCTGCATGTCCAAGACCCCTTACACACAAAACCTCCTTTACCCACTCCCAACCTCTTCTAGGATGACTCTACCCTGCCTTCCCTTCACTAGAGATTTATACACCCTTCAAGTCACCACATCTAAACTAAAAATGGTAAATTAAGACAGATAAAATTCAAATTTTCCACTAAGAAACTCAAACTCTGAAAGTAAATGGAAGAGGCATTCTCTTGTCAACAGAGAGAGGCCAATTTCCTAAATTACAATAGCACATTAAGTTTGAAGCTGCTTGGCAGCTTCAAATGGGCTTTAAAATTTCAACACTCTTGTATTCTACTTAGAAGGTTGGTATTGTTAATGTAGTGTGTGTGTGCTATTTTGTCATTTTTGCTCTCGAAATGGCATAGTAATATTTTGCATTACATAACTGGATTATGCTTCCTGAAGGGGGATGCCGTAGTGCTGATGAGGGGCTTTTGATCCAAGGAACCGAACTTATCCTCCTCTAGCTTGGATCGAATCTGATTTTCTCCATGCTATATAACCCCAATGGCTTTACTGCTTTCCCTAATTAAAGTAAAAAAAATATTTTCTGCATCAATCTTTAATGGATGATGCATCATATGAAAAGGTTCAAAACACCATCCTCAACCCCTCCTTCAGAGAGGTGGGGATGGTGGTTTATGGTGTGTTAAAGTTAGCCAAAATTGATGCGCTGTAAGCAACATCAGTGCTAAAGTGCCAATTAGTATTTTTGGTTTCCAGTTTGTTTAACCCTTTCAGGGTCCAGAGGACCAGGGTCCTTGAATTTCAAAAAAATAATTTTGTTATTTTTTCTAATGAAATGGTATAGAATCTTTTCTGAAGGTAATAAAACAAAAAGTATGAAATTTGATAGAAAATTGATGAAATTATGCTCTCATGAATTTTGATGTGTCAGCGATATTTATGCATCAGCAATTTTGCCGACTTTGACTCCCATTTTAGGCCAATTACATTGTTCCAGTAGACCAAATTCTTAGCTATTTCACTAGTATTACTTCAATTCTATCAATTGAGCACAAGAAATCACCAAGTCAACTGTTTCAACTACAAAATAAAGTGATCGGAAATTGGTAATTTGGCCAATTTAATGCAAAGTTCAAAATATTCCAATTTCAAAATAGGGTCCAGAATAAACAATGCAGGCATTCCTGGCACTAAACTAACATTTCCTCTGCTAATTAGCTACGTTTTCAGGCTTTACAAATGAATTCCATTTTGATTTTTAATTCACATAATGAATTTTTATTCAAACCAAAAAATAGAAGATTTACTGTCATGCAATATTGTAATAATTGTATAAATAATATCAGCACATTTGTGAACATATATCAGACCCACCAGCTGGCATGTATTAGACCAGTGAGGTCATTTGTTTACTCTTGAACATCGGCAAAAATTTAACATTTCCGCTACTTTGAGCTTGGTTTCAAGCCATTTTCAGTACTAAAACCAATCAAAATCATCTCTATTTCTGTAATATATCTTCCATTCTATCAAACGAGACCAAGAAATCGCAAATACAACTATAAAAAACATACAAAAAAAAAAACACTGCAAAGTCCCTGTTTTAATCGAAAATTATGGTCTCAGTTTTTTCTCATTATGCACTGTGTGCTGCAGGATTTATTTTATGTGGTGCACACATACCACATAGATGTATTCTCTCATATCTAGGCCCAAATTTACCGCTCATAGCTTATCAGAGTGAGCTGAGCTCATGGTGTAGATCTACGGTTTGGACCCTCAACGTAAAGCCATAGATCTATGGCACGGACCCTGAAAGGGTTAAACCATATAAAGTATGTTTTTTTTTTATTCACTGACAATATCTTGCTTTTAAGCAAAAATATTACTGGAAATAAGGCAGGAAGCACACTGCACCATAAGAACACTATCAATATTCACTATAAATCACGGTTTATCTAATGATTGTTTCTGTCATGCAACAGGATGAACAGGTTTTCCATGCCATATTAGAACTATTTCAAGGTATGATATTCCTCAAACATGGCTTGAGGTACATGAGAATAGAACTTACAAATACAGTGGTCCCTCATTTATCGTTGTTAATCCGTTCCTGGAAGTGCGATGATTATCGAAAAAGACGATTTTCGAATCAATTTTCCCCATAAGAAATAATGTAAATACAATTAATCCGTTCCTGACACCCAGAAGTACAGTGGACCCCCGGTTTGCGATGGCATCAGTATCTGATAAATCCGGTATTCGGTACATTTTAACGCAAAAATTTTGCCTCGGTTCCCGTTAAAAAACCCGCCATATGCGATTCGTCCAAGATGTGTCCACGTGTGGCCTGAACTACCCTGTGTGTGCCAGTGTTTACAAGCCAGCCAGTGTGCTCGCATCTAAGGATACATTCGGTACGTTCCATATTATCACAGTGTTTTTGGTGCTTGTTTCTGCAAAATAAGTCACCATGGGCCCCAAGAAAGCTTCTAGTGCCAACCCTTCGAGAAAAAGGGTGCTAATGACTATTGAAATGAAGAAAGAGGTAATTGCACAGTATGAAAGTGGAGTGCATGTGTCGGAGCTGGCCAGGTTGTATACAAAACCCCAATCAACCATCGCTACTATAGTGACCAGGAAAATGGCAATCAAGGAAGCTGTTGTTGCAAAAGGTGCAACTGTGATTACGAAACAGCGACCACAAGTGTTAGATGATGTTGACAGACTGTTATTGGTGTGGATAAATGAAAAACAGATAGCAGGAGATAGCATCTCTCAAGCGATCATTTGTGAAAAGGCTAGGCAGTTGCATGACGATTTGGTAAAGAAACTGCCTGCAACTAGTGGTGATGTGAGTGAATTTAAGGCCAGCAAAGGTTGGTTTGAAAGATTTAAGAATCGTAGTGGCATACATAGTGTGATTAGGCATGGTGAGGCTGCCAGTTCAGACCAAAAAGCAGCTGAAAAATTTGTGAAGGAATTCAAGGATTACACAGACAGTGAAGACTTGAAACCTGAACAAGTGTTTAATTGTGGCAAAACAGGCCTGTTTTGGAAGAAAATGCCAAGCAGGACCTACATTACTCAGGAGGAAAAGGCACTCCCAGGACATAAGCCTATGAAAGACAGGCTTACTCTTCTGATGTATGCCAATGCTAGTGGTGATTGCAAAGTGAAGCCTTTATTGGTGTATCACTCAGAAACTCCCAGAGCGTTCAGGCAAAACAATGTCCTCAAGGCTAATTTGTGTGTGCTGTGGAGGGCAAACAGTAAGGCATGGGTCACTAGGGACTTTTTCTATGACTGGTTACACAATGCATTTGCCCCAATGTTAAAAATTACCTTGAAAAGAAATTAGACCTTAAGTGTCTCCTGGTATCAGACAATGCCCCTGGTCATCCTACAGACTTGGCAGAGTGACTTTCTGGGGACAAGAGCTTCATTAAGGTCAAGTTTTTGCCTCCTAATACCACTCCTCTCCTGCAGCCCATGGACCAGCAGGTCATTTCCAACTTCAAGAAACTGTACACAAAAGCTATGTTTCAAAAGTGCTTTGAAGTGACCACAGGATCACTTCAATATCCTCAATTGTGTAAACCTTATAGGTAAGGCTTGGGAGGGAGTGACTAAGAGGACCTTGAACTCTGCTTGGAAAAAACTGTGGCCAGAATGTGTAGACAAAAGGGATTTTGAAGGGTTTGAGGCTAACCCTGGGAATCCTATGCCAGTTGAGGAATCCATTGTGGCATTGGGGAAGTCCTTGGGGTTGGAGGTTAGTGGGGAGGATGTGGAAGAGTTGGTGGAGGAGGACAATGACGAACTAACCACTGATGAGCTGCTAGATCATCTTCAACAGCAAGAGGCCAGACCTGAGGAAACTGCTTCGGAGGAGGGGATAGAGAAATTGAAGAAGTTGCCTACTTCAAAGATTAAGGAAATGTGTGCAATGTGGCTTGAAGTGCAAACCTTTTTTGATGAAAATCACCCTGACACAGCTACTGCAAGCCGTGTTGGCAATCTGTACACTTTAGGAAAGTCATAAA